GCGCCCCCCCCCCCCCCCCCCCCCGTCGCCGACAAGTGCCCCTCAAAGCCTGCAGGGGGCCTCCCAACTTTTAGATGCTTCCTACGCCCCTGCTAACTAAATATCAAAAATTTTCAAGAAAGAAGCAGTTTTCTCGGAAATATTTTAGACCAAAGTTTCTGCAACGAAAGTAAACAATGGCGATGCATTTTGGTCTAATACCGCCTCAAACATTGGTTCTAAACACTGGAAATATATCAGCAAACTGGAAAAAATTCAAGCAGAGGTATCTCAACCACGAAATAGCAACTGGCATCAGCGAAAAGGAGGATGCAACTCGATTCGCAACATTACTGTTACGAAAGTATATCTAAACAGTATAAAAATAGTTCAGTTTGCACCCCAGGTAATTATAGATACTTGTTACGTCAAATGGAGAGATAATGAGCATTTTTGCTAAAACGCAGATAAAGTATATATCATTTCGGACTTGCGTAAAAGTGTCAATTATCTGTCCATTAGGCAAGATAAATAATTTGTCAAACTGTCAAAGTTGGACGATAACCTTGCATGGTGGGCTGTTGTGTTTACATAATTCAAAGTCCAAGGCTGGTTCTTGTTTGACATGAAAATGTGCATGCTTAGGGCCTTTCTGTCATCATTCTTCGGTATATTTCGCGCGGTTGAGTAATGATAACATTACGTCATCAAAATCTTGGTTCAATAAAATTGTAAGTAAATTTAGTTTAGTAGGTAAAGTAAGGTTCACATAGGTATAGGTTGAAGTTTTTACCATGATATTTTGATAAGCATTTTAAGTTGTCAACATATTTTAATGTTGATCGATTGAACAGCGAACCAACTCGACAAGTGCGACAACGCCTTAAATAAACAGAATTTGAGAGCTGGAACGAGCTAACATCGCCAACCTACACTTTTAAACCTCAACGTTGATTGGCTGGATACAAATCACACCACTTGCTACATCACGTGTACAAAGATCCCTCAACCGTTAGTATAAAAGGGCGTGCACAATCTACCATTCTCAGTGGACTCAACGAAGTAAAAATTATGTATGAAAAGTTGTAGAAAGCTCAAACGAAACAAGACAAAACGACAAAGAATACGAACTGAAAACAACGAAGAAAGGCTGAAGGAAGAAGAGAACTTGGAAGAAGAACTATTCCAATATTAACATTTGTAACGATAATTAGAAACACTGTAACGATTCCCTACCTCGCGTAGAAAAACGAATAAGAATCATACATTCCTAACATTACTAACCGTCATAGGAAACGAAGCATATTGGATGTCTACGACTCGTTCGTGTGGGCTACAGTTGGAGAAAATAGCGAAAGTTCTTCGATGAACATTGTGAGCCAAGAAAAAACGTAACCTATGAAAGATACATATTTGTCACCAGAGTACAATAAACTAGTGAAACCATTGATCACTATGTCACAACATTAATTAAAGAGGCTTAGTGGCACCTGTGAATTTGTGACATAAGAGACTCTCATCAAGGACAGAATAGTCCTGGGAGTGAAAAATCAGAAAATTCGTGAGAGACTTCTTCGTGAGCCAGACCTAACCCTTGACAAAGCACTTCATTTGGTTAGAGCTGCAGGACGAATGGAAATGCACATAAGAGTAATACAGGTCCGCGGGATACATGGTGTAAATCGCAAGAAAAGTAAATTTAAAAAGAGAAAGCTCAAGAGGAAAACTCAAAGAAATCCAATTAATCGTAACTGTGGAACTAAACACAAGAGGAAAGAATGTTCTGCATATGGGAAAACGTGTCATCGCTGAATGTCAATGCTGTAGAGCGATAAGAAGATTCATACGTAAAAATAATGTCAATGCTGTAGAGCAACAAGAAGATGCATACCTGTTTGAAGAAGCACTGTTTGTAGGAGCAGTGACATCAGAAAGTCAAAATGATGAATGGTATGTTTCAACGAAAATCGAGAAGCAGAACACGAAGCTCAAAGTGGATACTGATTCGCAAGTAAACATTCTCAATATTAATCAATTGAAGAAGATTAAACCCCAACCAAGTCTCAAAGAATCAACTCATAAATTATTCAGTAACACTGCTGTGTTAGGAACAACAGGACTATGTGTAGAATCAGAGACAAATCAATCTAGAAACTTAACATTCTATGTTGTAGACACAAATCAACCAGGTCTTTTGGGACTCAGAGCAGCTCAGGAACTCTGGTTGATAAAAATCGTGGAAAATACCATAGTAGACCGAACGGCGAAGAAACCACTCGCACATCTCATCAGAAAATCTTCACTGGTTTGGATCGTTTGGAGAGAGAATACCACATCGAAGCTGATCCAACAGTTACACCAGTCATTAATCCTACTACTCCCTACTAGAACTATTCCTGCTGCTCTTCGCAGTAGAGTGAAAGAGGAACTTGATGATATGGAAAGGAAAAACGTAATTTGTAAAGTGGAAGAGCCAACTGATTGGGTCAGTTCTATATGGTTGTGGTGGAGAAACCTAACGGAAAACTTTTCATTTGTTTAGAACCAAAACATCTAAACAAAGCAATCAAGCATGAACATTTTCAATTACCGACAATTGAAGATATCACTACACGTATGGCCAATGCCAGGTGGTTCTCCAAACTAAATGCCAATCATGGATACTGGCAAAGTTACTTCGACCAGGACGACAGTCAACTCCTTACCACTTTCAACACTCCTTTTTGCAGATATTGATACACCTGCACTCCATTTTGTATCACCTCAGCACAAGAAGTTTATCAGAAAAGGATGCATCAACATTTCGACGATCTCGAAGGTGTTGAAACGGATATTGACGACATCCTTATTCACGGAACAGCAGAAGAAGAGCATTATCGACGCCTCGAATCAGTCTTAGAAAGATGTCAGAAGATCAATTTAACCTTAAACAAAGAGAAATGTGAATTCAAGTCCAGAGAAATTACATATTTGGACACAAACTGGCAGAAAATGGCGTTAAACCCGATGAAGCGAAAGTTAAAGCTGTTAACGAAATGGAAGCACCAACAGGCAGAAAAGGTGTAGAGAGACTGCTTGGAACTGTGAACTATTTAGGAAAAATTATTCCAAACTTAACAACCCTTACCAAACCAATCAGATCGTTGTTGAAGAATTAGATCGAATTTCAGTGGTCTTTCGAGCAACAGAAAACATTTCAGGATATTAAGGATACTCTCGCCAAAGATGAAGGTCCAGTATTAAAGTTTTTTGATGTATCGAAACCTACAGGTTTGGGAGTAATTTTGTTGCAGGATGGCTACCCAGTTGCGTACGCGTGAAAGTCGTTGATAGAAACCGAATCAAGGTACGCCCAGATAGAAAAAGAACTTCTGGCCGTGCAATTCAGTCTTGATCGATTTCATCAATATGTGTACGGAAAGGAAGTTATTGTCGAGTCAGATCATAAGCCTCCGGAGATGATAACAATGAAATCGCTGGCGTTAGCTCCTCCTCGTTTGCAGAGATTAGTCCTGAGAATACAGAGGTACACTACTACACTATCGTCTACAAATCAGCTAAAGAAATGGCACTGCCAGATATGTTGTCAGAGGCTCCATTACCCGAAACTGACGAGGAAATGGAAAAAGTGATTAATCTGCACGTACATCTTGTAAGTTAAACCCTACCAACTTCATAATTCAAATTAGAAGAAATTAGAGAAGTAACAAAGACCGTTGTCAGTCCTACCCTATTAATTGGAACATTCGCGATTAATTGTCGATGATAGATGGAATCATCTTGAAAGGCGACCGTATTGTCGTACCATTAGCAATGACGAAAGAAATGCTACAGATAATACATGGGGATCGAGAAATGGAAACGAATAGCTCGGGATGCTTTTTATTGGCCTTTGATGAGCAAGCAGACAGCTGAAATGTTATCGAAGGGCACCGTATGTCTTGAGCACAGAAAGGAGAATACCAAAGAGCCTGTGATATCTTTCAGAGTACCAACCATACTTTAATTGGGAGGTGATGGCAACAGATTTACTTAGTTTGTACAACTTGGACTATTTACTTATTGTTGACTATCATTCTAGATACTTTGAAGTTGTCAAGTTACCAGACACAAAGAGTTCAACGGTGATCAAGTACACCGAGTCGATATTCTCCCGACATGGGATTCCTGCAGAAGTCGTAAGTGATAATGAGCCGCAATACTCCTCTAGATAATTTCAAGCATTTGCAGAAAGCTTGGAATTCAAGCATACGACAGTTAGGTCTCTCAACCCACAAGCCAATGGTTTAGCAGAAAGGTCTGTACAAACAGTCAAGAATATTTTAGTTAAATCGAAGAGAGATCAATGAGATCCATATTTAAGGACATTACTAAACCACGAAACAGCGAAACGAAACAGCGAAACAACGAAACAGCGAAACAACACGTTTTATATTATTTTTAGTGAAATGAATAAACTACATTTAAGTTAAACTAAATTAGAACGAAGTTAGACGAGATGAAATTAAATCCTTAATTAAGTTACAGCCGTACAACGTCATCACGGCAAGTAGGTAAAAGTAAAATAAGCATCAAAACTGTGACACGTTTACCCAAATTGAAGAATGTTTTATTACTATTAGTGAATCCTTTACAAATCCATAGGCATAGCAGGCCCAATAGTTAATATTGTAATAGGCACCAAAAGACTAAAATACTTAAAAATCCGATACAATTTCATAATGTGTTACTGTGAAAATATTCTAGCAACTGTTTTTGTCGCCATAGGTGTTTATTTAAACCATGCTCAATCTTACCTTGCCGTTGTGGATGCAGACTTGCAGTGGCGTAGTGACGTATATGAAGTCTTTATTATTGG